GAATAAAATCACTGTGACGCAAGTAAATATTCACTTGAAATGAGAAATTACCGCCCAACAAAACGGACCATTAGATTCCCAGTGCTGTATTACTCTTTTGTTCTTGTGGTCAACTTGTTTCTTTGCTTGAATCGCGTAAAAGACCAAGGAAAATACAATGAAATCGGCAATCGCCGAGCCGCGCCCCGATCTGCCGCCGCCATCTTGGATTTTTTTGGAAAGCTGCAATTTGGCCCAAACCGCTAGAGGGGGCGAATTAAAATGTTTAATATATTCGGTCTGAAGTTTTAGTAGCTCTAGCAGTAGAGGAGAAGTTTGATAATGCATAGAACGGATAAAATAGAATAAAATAAAATAAAATAAAACAGAATAAAAAATAAAATGAAAATAAATAAAAAATAAATAAAAATAAAAAAATAAAATAAAATGAAAATTATTGTAGTGGTTACATATTGTATTTAGCAATGATCATTTTTCACTAATTCCATTGAAGCAAATGATAATGGAAGCCAACTTATTACCCTGTTTGGTGTTACAGGTATGAACATACTAGGTAATACATTCTTTCCTCTCTAGCAGTTACACAAATCTATGTGGACATCCTCCAAGAACACAAAACTACATGGCCAGCGGCCGAGATAAACTTTTTTCAAAAGTCTTGTTTGAGTAATGGAAGGATGACAGGTCGAAAGGAAGGTGCCAGAGGAAGGCTAGGGAAGCAGGGCTCGAATTTCTACTACCTTCCACCACACCAAGTCTTCCAATGTCAAAGATGTGAAAGAACAGAAAAAATATTTATTGTGTGGCAAATACAGTGTATATAATGTTTTTTATATACTTAGTGTGTTCAATCATTAAACTTTGTTCAACCTACCTGACCACTTAGATTTCAAAATAAAAGCAACTTTTTTCACACGCATCAGTTTTGGGGTGCCCACAGGATGTCATCCACATAATCAAATCTGCATGGGCCTTACATGTACATTGTATAGTGTACAAAAGAAGGATGAAAGCTGCTGTACCTGGAAGGTGATATCCTGTATGGTGTTGTCTGGTGTACTGATGGCTCGACACGGCTGCCTGGTCCTCTCAGGGGTCAGGAACCCTACAGATCTCAGGGGGGTGCGGGGCCGTGGAGGGGGAGGGAGGGGGGAGAGCTCCCCGGGGCGGGCGGGGGTCGGAGGTTTGGGAGACGAGGGTTTGCCGGGGGTGCCTGCAGGGGTGGGTGAGGTATCGAGGTTAAGTGGCTGCAAAGGTTCATGGGTAACAGGTGGGGTGTCAGTGTTAGGCAGTTGCAAAGGCTGCTGGGTATCAGGTTGCTGAGGTTGGTCAGCAGGTTCTGAGGCTTTGTTAGTGTTGGGGGAGCCTAAACAGAGACAAACAAAACAAGTGACAATGATGCATATGTCAAATTTCTGACGATTTTAGCTTATGCATTAACAATAGGTTTCTCGCTTCCCTTCAAACCACTGTCTACTTGCCTAACAACATACATGTACATGTGCATTGATGTAATCTTTTCACTCACTCACTTAAACACTCACTCCCATATTCACTCATGCACTATCCCACACTCATAAAATGGGAGCAATTTTTGGTGTATGTATCTTTGGATTTGCCCCTCAAACGACATGTGCCTTACATTACATCATAGAAACTAACACAGTCAGAATCTACATGTGAACATATGAACCCTTTTCTTTTCAAAATTAGGGTTTTACAAAATCAAGGATAACTAGACAAGAGAAACAACAGATTCTAACTTCATATACCAGGTATTTTCATGTTTTTTTTGTATCTTTTCAACATTACCATGCCTAAAACAAAGGATGGAAGACAGAAAAAGCATGTGTCAAGCTACCCACGACAGGTTACTGTCCATGCGCTCCTCCAATCCACTCATGCCAACTTCACATCGAAATAAAATAAAAACATAAAAGTTTACAATAATAGACTGACAGGACAACTGCTCCAGCATATATTCATTGGTTTATCTGTGTTGTGTCATTATGAAGCAGTCTAATCTGTAATTTCCAACACAAGGGATTGGACTTACTCACGGAAGCGGTGGATTGCTCATTACTTGACCAAGACTGGAGTTGTACAGTCGAAAATTTGGGTAAGTCCAAATCTCTTGTGCTAGAAATTACAACTGCTTCATAAGTTCCTGTCATGTTGTAACAAGAGATGGTACAGGGCTTACCCTCCCCACCCTGGGGCTGATCGCCGGCACGCTGGGCCCTGCGGGCGGACATGTTCTTCCTGGCGGAGTTGATGACTGCCAGCACGTTCAGGTGTCTGGAGCCCAGGGCAGCAGCTGGTGTTCGGGGGAGGGCAGCCTGCTCGTGGGGACTTCCAACCTGGGAAAATTGTACACAGTCATAAATATTACATGTTTTATATTAAGTCTTCCTTATCCAGATAAGTTAATCAATGGTATTAGTCTTTTGAACAAGTAATTTCTGAATTGAGAAGAAAAATTAGAGTTCCACAACCTCATACCTTCAACAAATGCAATGAATTACGTTTTTCATTGACTATTAATTTTGCATAAAATCATCAGTTGCATAAATTACATCAGTTCATCATATTCTACACCCAATAAATGTTGTACAATGTCAGTCTTATCTTAAGAAAAGAAGGCTATTCTAGCATTTTGTCATTAATTATGCAAATGAGGTTTTGACTTGCATAAGTTATGTTCATCTTGACTAATAGCTTGCAAATGCTACAAGTATGAAATTCCTGCCTTGTTACCACCATGGAGTCATAATATTTTCTCATGGTAATGCAGATTACGTCTTCCTTTACATAATCTTTATCTGCCAATGTCACAACTTTGAACTCTTCTGCCATAACAATGCCACCATATGCACAAAGCCATGCATGAGATAATTTTGACAAACGTTTTGTACAGTGCTGCAGACACATCCACGTACATGTAGGTAAGTAAGATTGTACTACTACTACCACATACCTGACCAGGACGTCTGGGCGGGGTGCCTGGAGCGCCTGCTCCACTTCCAGGGGCAGATGGAGTGGGAACTCCCTGGGGAATAATCATTGGTATACTCGTTACTTTGCTTTTCTTAAGTCAATATCATTCAGTCTAACGAAATATCCGGTCAGAATATCCAGGAGTGAATGCTGGTATACTGAGACCATGAGTTTTTTTGTGTACAATACATTCCATCAAAATTATGCTTCCACAAAAGATGTTTCCCACAGCTAGGGGCTGGCTTTCAGATTCAAAGAACTGTTTGACAAATTTACCGTCAATGACGAAAAGATGTACCATACCAAAACATGCAGAAGTTATGAAGTACACTTTATGTTCGCGGTAGCAATAGTTCGTTGTCTGAGAAAAATGGACATGTTCGCGGAACTATACATTCAGGGCGGTGGCATGTGCAGAAAAAAGAAAGTCGGCGAATCATTTGTTAGTGGTAATGATATGTTTGTGGTATAGAAGTGATCGCAAAAACTGCGGATATAAAAGTACCGCAAAAAAAATTGGGATTTACAGCACGGAGATTTAGACCTACTGCAGAGGCGGGAGTCGCCGCAGATTTCAGGCGCTGTCGCTCCTCCTCCTGTTCCCGCTGCTGCTCGTCGAAGCGCCGTAGGTCAAACTCAATCTCACTCGCCAGCTGTTTATCGGCCGCCATGATATCTGTGAGCCAGAGAGAGATTTAAAAAATTATTATTTTGTATAGTGGCTTTGAAATGACTAAGCCAAATTGTTCATGTTTCAATATTTCCAATGTATAAAAGATAAGGTGAGCAATTCTGAGGCCCTCAGAGTCAGAGTGAGGACAAAGTATGACCCTTCTTCCATACCTTAGGTACATGTAGTGCAATGAGGCTTTACTACAGCTTGCGTTTATTTTGCATTATTGCGTTTGGTTGAAATAGAGTCAGGTGTGTTATAGGGCATAGTAGAAATAGAACATGTATATAATGATTCTGAGACTGTCATGGGATCAACTAGTTTTGAAGGACTGTGATAGACTACAGACTAAACCATCATGATCACTCAGCACTTGCAGTACTAAAGCAGTGAATGAATGGATGAAAAGGCAGCTGACCTTTGACTTCATTGCGGTAGTCTTTCATGACCTCCTTGAGGTAGACCATGAGGTTACGGAGAAGTGGCGAGCGTTTGGCCTCCAGCTGGTGCTTCAGAGCGATGATGATTGGCACGATGTTCTCTATCATGTTCTTCTTCACCACCTGCAGCACACAATCATAATATGAGAAGTCAAATAATTTTTAATCATTATGCTAGAAAGGTAACACATTCAAAGCAAATACACAATGTTTAAGTTAACAACATGCATAGCCCTGTTTATTGCTCTGTTTATTCTTACTCAAACGTAATGGTCACCCCTCCAACTCTAGTCCTGCCACTTGCTACATAATGTAAGCCAAAACCTGCTACAGCACCAGTACCATGGTGTCTGATCCAGGTCATTCAGACTTTATTTGTTTGGAACAGAAGATGAGTTACAGTATGTTTTCCTCATGCTAAGGTAAACATAAAAAATCTTTATCGCCAAAGACAGAAGAAGTTAGTTATGGTCCAACCTGTGACAAGTTTACAATTTTGATCCACAGAGTCATGTACATGTAAAAATTGTAAAGTAAAGAATAGTCTACACTCCTTAGTTTAACAACACTAGGCTTGTGCAGTAAGTACATGAAATGCTACTTGTTGTGGTAATAATTGTTTGTAAGTTTTTACAGACCTGTGTGAGGAACTTGTTGGTGGCCCTGTGGAAGGCCGCCCCTGCTGCGTCCCCCTCGTTCAGGGCGTCTTCCTCAGCGTTGGCCTTGAGGGAGGCCAGTTTGATCTCCTTACAGGACAGGATGGCCAGGGTGTCCTGCAGGATCTGACTGGTCTCCGCATTCAGGGGCAGAACACTGTCCACAAAACCCTCCAGCACCTACAGGAAAGATGTAGTATTAATATTGTGTTCCTTTTGTATTTATTGGGCCTTGAAAAAAAATACTGTGTTTCCTGTTTCAGTCCTGAAAAAATTAGGGTCAGTATAAGGTAGGGAATTTACTAGGGATTATCTTTATTTTAATTTTTTAAAGATTTTGGCTATGTTTAGTGATCCAACAATACAGTTAAACAAAGTACTGTATACCTTGCATGAGGACACTTTCAATGTCAATGTTAGAAAAACGACTGTACAGCTCAGGTGTCAGATTATGGAGCTAGAAAGGGTTGATCAGGCAGAAAAATTTCTGTCCCTTGCAGGGGTCCACCCAAAAAAGGTTAATGTCGGCAGTATTTTCTAGGGTCGGTCAGGAAACACAATTTTTTTAAATTTTTTTATTAGGCATCGAAAAGGTATGTCACCACAGAAGGGGTGGTATAACCCTGACAAGCGGTGTTCTTGCTATGCTACAAACATTTTTGCAAAACACACCCAAAGAACACTGTACTGTATGGATACCTCGGAACAGAGCTTCCCGATGAGGTTGAAGCGGTTTTCGTCGCTCATGTGCTCCAACAGGAAGCGGTAGATCGTCCGGCGCTTCTCCCGGTTGGCCTCGCCGGCCAGCGAGAACATCTTTCTCTCACGCTCCGACTCGCTGAACTTGTTGTAGACGGGATGGTGCTGGTAGGAGTTCAGGTGGTACACACACTGCACAAAGTTGTTGAAGTACATACCAGGCTGCCTGTGGGATTAAGATTTAGTCTCGTTATATCGGCACATCGGCATAACATACAGTTCACTTTATGCTTTGCCACAGCAAAAGTTTGCAGTCTGAGAAAAATGGACATGTGCGCAGAACTAGCGGTAGTGGCAGTTGCCGAAAAAAGTATAGAAGTGACTCAGTCGTCACTGTGAAAACCACGAATACAAATATACTGCGAAAAAAATTGTGATTAAACAGTACTACATCACATTACACCCACCGTCTTGTTACACTTAACCCTTGCACATCTAACTCTAAACATTGTTTAAAGGTATCAATGATACTACTGCCCCTACTGTACTTGGTGCCAGCGAGTTCCCCTCTGTGATAGTTCTAGGAAAGAATGAGTTTTTGAACACCACTATCCTTGGTTGATAACTCTGGTACTTGAAGGCATAACTATTTCTTGTTCTTTTCTGAGCTGGTATTACATGTAGGTACTTAGTAGCTCAGGTAAGTCCATCAGTTTATCAGCCATTTTGTTCATCATTCATGCTTAACTCCTTGTGCTGACTCACCTTTCAGACAAGAGATGCACCAGACAGAACTCGGCCATTTTGCGGGTATCTTCATCTGGGTCCACCAGCACACTGACGAACCTGAAGAACAGTGTGCCCTTCCACTTCATGAAGTCCTCCTGCAGCCCACAATGAAATAAGCAATTTCAGATGAAGAAAACAGTAAAAACTACAAAGACAGATAATTGGGCAAATACAGCATCTTTCAGTCCACCCTTTCATTCAAAAATAACTGTAAAATTCCATATACATTTGTAGTGCTCCTAAATATCAAGATTTAGTGTTTCAATACTGACATGCAGTCCCCGGGCCCCATGCAATACACTGATGTTACAGTGCATTTCAGTAACAAGTGTTCTCGAAACCACCATACAGTGCTTTTCAGTGAAATATTTTTGAAACCCCCATACAGTGCTTTTCAGTAGTAAGTATTCACAAAGCCCTCCATGTGTTTGTAGTGATTTTCAGTATCAGGTGTTTTCAAAACCCCCATGTGATGCTCAAAACCCCCATTCACAGGTGTAGCGTACTAAAATACCAGACTAATTTGTAAATCCATTTGAGTACCTAAAAATGTCAAGATCTCAGGATTTGGTAATGATTATCTGAACTTCAATGAAATGGTAAACCAAAAATGTTAATTGTCCATGCCTTAGGCCACACCAATTTAATTTGTTGATTCTCGGACTCGCCTCCTCATTTTTGTCTGATTTGCAAAAAAGTTCAAAATTGATTGTTTTAATATGAACCCAGCCTTTTTGTGTTGACTTCATGGCTGCTATCATAGCATTTGGGGCTATAATAGGATGGCTAGGCCTGTTTTTATTTTCATTTTTTTTTCGCCCTGTCGATTCATATTTTTTCTGAAAAAATCTGAGAACCAACATATTAAATTGGTGTGGCCTTACCTGCAGCAGTTGAGTGAGCATGATGAGGGTCTGGTTGCGGATGAGAGGGCTCTCGTCCTTCAGGCACGCGGCGATGGCAGGGATGTGGTGGTCGATGTACGTGGAGTACAGCTTGATGAGGTCACACAGGATCACCATCACGTTGTTGCGGATGGGGATGTGCGGGGACGTCTCCAGCTCGTGTGCCAGGAAGGGCACGCACTTCTTGGCCACGTCGTCGTGTTGTAAACACAGCTTTCCTGTGGTCAAGGAACAAGAGCAGTCACAGAAGGACAGTTCATGTCGATGAAGGTTAGACATCCAGGGAATAAGATACCAAGAAAAATTATCTACTATCGTAAGTTTCTTAGATATATCATTTTAATGAAAGACATTTTACACGTTGTTAGAAATCTTAGCGGTTTGTGATTTCATTGTTAAATTAGCTGTGCTATAGGTGCAATTCAGTTCCACTCATAAGCAGTAGAGTGTCTGCTACAGCACCAGTTACCATGGTGACAGACATCTGGTTCAGGTCATTGACCTTATGTGTTTGGAGAAGAAGAGGAAGAAACAAAGCAAAAAAATATGTTTTTCTTCTGCCAACTTGAAGGTAAACATAATAAAGACCAGAACTGACCGATGGTGAGGATGGCATGTGCCCTGATTGTAGGTGGTACAGCGGGACCCTGTAGCTGTGACAGCGGGATCTGAGACAGCTGTGTGCCCTGGCTGGCAGGGATCTGAGACAGCTGTGTGCCCTGGTTGGCAGGGATCTGAGACAGCTGTGTGCCCTGGCTGCTGGGCAGCTCGTCCAGTTTGGTGTTGTCCACTAGGAAGGACTGTACCATCAGGATGATCCGTTTGGATGTCTTGGCGGGACACAGTTGTGCAACCTCGCCCACCGTGAATAAGTGGCGGACTGAAACAATTGTACACAAAAAATTGTAAATATCATATTGACAGGCAATTAAGATGAATTAGTACTTAAAATTGTCACTAAATAGAAAGGTAGTAAGGTATGGTGTAATATTTGCAAAGAAAATACATGTATATGGAGACCAGCCCCGCCAACTCTGTCATGCCACTTGCTACATAATGACTTGTAATCTAACACCACTATGGTGTCTGCTACGGCACCAGTTACCATGGTGACAGCCATCTGTCCAGGCCATCTACATTTATTTGTTTGGAACAGAAGAGCTTAGGAAGAAGAACAAGAAGAAACAGAGGAAAATTACTTCTGCGAAGGTAAACATAACTTGTCTACGATTCTTTTTACCGAGTCTTACTACTTGGCACATGTTACATTTGTACTTACCGACTGCCATGACGTCCAAGTTAGCAGTGTTCAGCTCCTCATTCAGCACCAGGCTAGACAGGTAATCCTCGGAGCGTTTCAGGAGTTCAGTGGCCCACTCATCTATCATGACCTTGGCCTCCTCTGCGTCCTTAGAGCAGCCCTTAGTCAGTTTCTCCAAGGTCAGGACCAGGTCCTTGATCATGACAGGATCACAGGCGTATGCTCGGAGCAGTTTCTTCAAGTCAGCTGCAAGAAGTAAGAGAAAGAAGTTTGAATGTTTTATAAATAACAACTTGTAACATTATAAGAAATTGTGCTTTTTGCCTAAGACTCTTTAAATATAGTATATTACGTGAATAAAAATAAAAATAACAACTGAAGGCTAAATGTTGATGCATAATAATTCATTAATTTTACATGACGGTAAACATACAAAATGTATTCACAATTCTCATACATGTAGGGCTTACAATTGTTCACTGTTTGCTGACACAGTTTGTAATGTCTCAATTTCTTAATAATTCATGATGTAAAATTTGGGAACAAAAAAAGGACAGCAGTATAAATGGGCAGACTAAAAAGTAAAAGCGTACATTGGCTTACAAATGCCCCATTCTAATACTATGAATATACCAACAGCCACAGAAAATGGAGCTCCCTACCCATGATTTCGTTGATTCTGTCCTTGGGGATGTTGCCTGCTATGCTGCCCATGACCTGTAGTATGGAGGACACCGTGTCCTTGCTGAAGACACCGCGCCCGTCACGGTAACCCTGCCAGTTGTCCAGCACCATGGAGTAGTCCATCTTGGGGCAGTACTTGGCAACCAAAGCTAGCATCATCCAAGCAGCCTGGAAGTAGTGTTTAATAGTTGGAACTACAAATGTAGAAACTTAAGGTAAAATTAATCATTACTAAATGTTTATTGCAAATTCATGCCCGAGGGCTATTTGCAGGAACAGAAGAAACATTTGGTATAAAATCAATTAATACACAGATACATGAACTACTGGTAAAAAAACTACTAGGTTTGACTTCTTTTTTGAAGACAGAGGAAGACAAAGGATCCCACTTTTTCTGTAATTTGTGGGTTTTGTAAAGCATAATGTTTACCTTCACATGGTCTAGCCAAACAAACTACATGTACATGTACATGTACATTGTACTAACAGCTCTGACTGTTTATTCTTACTAATACACACATTCAAATATATAGTGACCAGCCCCTACCTCTCTGAACTGCAACTTGCTACACAATATAATCTGGCAATACAGGGTATCTGCTACAGCACCAGTTACCACGGTTCAGGTCGTTACCAGAAGAAAAGTACAATATACATATCTCACCTCTGTATGGTCAGAGCTGACATGAGTGCTGAGAGCCTTCACAAGCCTGGGGGTCAGCTTCCCCTGACGGGACCAGATGTTACAGGCCTTCCCCAGGTAACGTCTGAGGAAGGGAGAAAACACCATTATAACATAAACACAGCCTAAGGAAAAAACTGTCACTATGTGCCTCCAATAGAAGCAATCATGTAGATAGGTTCATATGTTTCAGACTTGAAAGAATGGTGTAAAAGTACAGAAATTAAATGGTTACTGTTACAGTAATAAATTTAACTGACCTCAACTCCTGCCCCTCAATACCAGCTATGACCTTGAGCAAGTTCCAGGCAAGGTCACAGTTTTCGTTCTGGGATTTTCTGACGTCCTCAATCTGTTCCAGGATGGTGTCCTCAAGCAGCTGCAATATGGAGCCATATGTATAACATATAATTACATTGCAGGAATTGAAATATGTTTTTTTTGGTCACATGCAAAATTGCACATTGGCAGAAAATCTACATGCAAAACTTATTTCAGCCTTCAGTGTTCTCTAGATATACAACAAGATACATGTACATGTGTGGATGGTGTTCAGCACCAAGGACAGATATAAGTATTGTGACTTTTGTATAACATTGTTAAGCTATGCATGGCTCAAAATAGTGGGCGCATACAACGTATGCACCTTAGTGCAGGTAAAATTGGAGCTGTGCAGGTACATCTGATGTCTAAAAAATGACTTCAGACAGTTTGATGTGATCCATTTTTCTCAAAGTCCAAGAGGTGCAGGTAAAATTTGTCTGGTGCAGGTAATTTTCAATATTATCTGCACCAGTGCAGGTTAAACAGCGAACTTTACTACCATGAATATAAACTGATGTAAAGTATTAAGTTTCGTAACTTCCCTTCCGTGTCTACAATCACCATTCTCATGCTACTGACCTCCAGACTTTTCTCGGAGCAGGAAGTCTCCCTGTCCAGGACGGCGGGCACCACCCCCTCCAGCCAGAGTTTGTGGACATGCGGGAGGGCGGGGTTCTTGTGCAGTACCGTGGTGAGCGACTGCAGCGCCTGCTTCCGTACTGACAGCGACACGTCCATGCAGCGCTTGTAGATCGTCTCAACCTCCTTCACCGATGGAGGGGTCGGACTGATCGACACCAGGCTTTCAAACGCCTGAAGTGGAGATACAATGTAGCTGTATTTAGAGGATCTACTCCTGAGGCATCACCAAAAAGTCTGACTTAGACAATAGTCATGATACAAAAAAATATATATGTACAGATGTCTTTTAGCTTAAAAACAGTACCAGTACCAAAACCCATAACTCAGCTTTTGCAAATGTGAAGAAATTTTACTGAATTTCTGTATGGAAAATCTCTCTCATGACAATCCTTGAAGCTTTTTCTTTTGATTTTCACATAGTATTTCAAATGCCTGAAGTGGAGATACATGTACACATAACAATCAATGAAACAGCTGTACATTACAATTTTACACTGTCAACTGTACATCAATGAAGGACTCAATATGTTATTATCCTTAAGGCCTATGAAAAAATATTGTGTTTCCTTGTTTCAGTCCAGAAAAAAATTAGGTTCGGTAGGTAGGGATTATCTTTTGTTTTTCTTTCTTTTTTTAGACTTTACGATCTCTAATAATCCAACCGCATGACGACACTTTAATTTTCAATGTCAATGTTGGAAAACTGATTGTACAATGTTTCATCACTTAGGTATCAGATCTTGGAGCTAAAAGAGATTGATCAGCTCAAAAAAATTTACCGGTACATGTATTTCCCTTGCAGGGGTCAACGCAAAAAAGGGCTAGGGCCGGCAATTTTTTCTAGGGTCAGTCAGGAAATATGAAACAACATTTTTTTCCCTAGGCCTCACTGATGTCCTTCACGGAGTACATGTAACAAAAGCATGTCACTGCTGAGAAGCCAGCGCTAGCCTACCTGAAGAGCTGCCTTTCGTACTCCAACTTTCTCATCATTGAGTCGCTCCCCCAGCATGGAAAACAAGGTCCCGCCGGCTACGTTTCTCCCAAAGGACACATCCCTAGGGGCAGGGGACTCCCCCTGGGGGGTCCTGGCACCAGGGGAGGGGGTCAACCCTAAGGGGGTCAGTGGAGTTGAACTCCCTGGGATACATGTAGGTAAGAGGACATAACTGTCAGTATCACTATCATGTAGTAACTCAGCTAGCTACTGTATGCAATACGTTCATGAAGGTTAGACATCCGGGTAATAAAAAATACATACGCTCAAAAAACAGTTACTCAAGCAACTGGATATGATTTGGGAAATGGTCAGACGTTTCAGGTAGCATCCGCTTACTTTGGTTAATGACACTAGAGAATTGTCAGAAAAGCAGGTTTATAAGCATGAACTATAATAAATAACTAGGGAAGAGAAATATTTGATTGTCCAAAAGGAAACAAAAGTTAGCAAGGTCAAGACAAGGTCGATGCAAATAGTGAGATAGCTCCTGTTGTTTCAGAACAAATGAACAAACATGCAAAACAAACAAACAAACAGTACCCATGAGTGGAGTGTTGGATCGCTGAGTCCCGGGTGTTTTGGTGAGGGACGAGGCCAGGAACTCCTGGAACAGCAGCACGATGCTGGGGTTGTCTGAGGAGATACACTGGGACAGGCAGCTCAGGGCGCGCCCACGGACATTGGCCGCTACATCTGAGCACCTGGACAGAAACAAACAAGAAACTGAAGATCTCATGCCTAATTTTTGTGAACTGCTAATCTTGTTTATTGTGAAGTTCTCTCTGATAATGTTTACCTTCACAGAAGGAAACATGTTGTTTTCGCTCTGTTTCTTCTTCTTCTCCAATCAAAGTCAATGACCTGGACCAGACGTCTGTGACCATGGTAACTGGTGCTGTAGCAGACACCCAGTGGTTTTGGGGTGTTGGGTTACACTAAGTAGCAGGACAGAGTTGGAGAGGCTGCTTACCATACATGTAGATATGTATATAAATGTGCTTGAGTAACAATAGAAACAGAGCAGTTGCTGAAATTTGATGGGTTAGACCATTGGGAAAGTAAACATTATGCACAAAATTGCTTTGCGAATGTTACCTTCCTATTTATGTATGTTTATGCATTTTCCCACTGGCATGCAGTGGCTGCCCATAAGGCAAAGGAAATCAGTAACCTTTTCTGAGACCTTTGACCTAACTTCCTGTCAGTATTCCTGATGTGCCTAGCAGGTAGAAATAACTACAGAAAGTACTCAAGTGCCAGAGGTAATAGTAAAATACATTCCAAATGGCGCAGTTAAAATTTGTCCAGCATATTTCGTGCAGGTATTTTTTAACGTTACCTGCACCTGTAACCTAAACCCACCTGCACCTGTGCAGGTATGCAGGAAAAACTATTTTGAGCCCTAATAATATCTTACCTGGCAATGATCATCTTCTCCAACAGAAACATGCGGGTGAGAAAGATGAGGTGGTCATCCTGGACGTTATCTTCTATCTCACGCTCCGGCTCCCCAAGCAAGGCGACCGCCATGTCCAGGCCAATTATACGGTGGCCGGTCTTGTCCGACCTGGAAAATCTGCAAAAAGAATTTTTTAAAAACTGAAGAGTCAGTCTGGTCTGTTGTTGTAACTTTGAATAGTTGTCGGTGCATTGCAATTTGTACTAAGTACATGCAGGTAGTGTAAGTGCTAGTAAAACATTGACGCAAAGTTGTTACTAAATTTGTTACTAAATACTGATTGTCACTAAATTTCGCACTCATGACAAAGAAATGCGGTTTACAACAGCTTCTAAACTTGTGTGTTTAGCATTAACCAGTTTAGTCAAAGCTAACTTACTTAGATTTTTCATTAGTCAGTTGTCACAGAGAACTTTAGAGGGCTAGGCAACCTTGCCGAACAACTCTCAAACACAGATGACCTTGCTCATGACTTAAACTCCCAACCAAGGTCTGGAGAAGGTCACAAGGCCATAGTAGGCTATGTGTGCTATGGGCTTACTTTAAAAGATATCTTACCCATAAAGCCATTTCAGGAAGCTGGCATATGCTGGCGTGGGCAGGACCTGTAACATTTTCACCACGCTCTGGGACACCCGTGTTCTGTATTCTGTAACACAAATTATCATACTGATCAGATGTGACAGTTATTAGATACCAGTATTTTTTACAGGAGAAAATACAAGGTACACAAGAATCAAAGTTTCAACAAGCACTTATAGTTATACACACAAGTCCTGATCCTGACCTAAACCCATTACATATACAAAATTTCTCGTTGGCAAACATTTTACATTATTTTTTTTTTATCTGAAAAAAGCAAAATTACTAAATACATAAGTCTTCATGTATAGATTCAGTAGTAAATAAAAATAGTCTTAAACAATATTATGCCGACAACATTGCACCCTTGGCCTAATTTTTTTTTCAGTCTGCAAAATTGCAGGTTGTCTTCCGCAATATTGAAAAAGACCCTGCAAAATTTAAACTTGCCTTAAGCAGGTGGATATTTCTAATGAACTGTAACACCAAGAAATTGGAAAGAGCCGATTCTGAAGATTTTAGGCAGTCCTACCAGCCTTGTCAGGTACCCTGTAGCAGGAGTGTTGCAGGAGTATCCGGTACACAGGCAGTACTGTCTCACCACCCTGCCTCGCCAGGTGACAGGCATAGCCTACAGCCTGTAATGTACAACACAACAAGAAATCAAACATTTCACATCTCCATATTACATACATGTATACCTCAAGGGGAGGAGATATCCTTCCGGAGGGTGTTGTTTTTGTTTTTGTTTGTGTGCGTGTTTACACCTTTAATGTACTGTGATTTTGAGGGATTTCTTTCGGTATATAATTTGTGGTCAAGATGATGCAGTTTGTTTCTTTCCAATGTATCTGACAGTGTATATTCAGGTATTGATATACATGTAAAATAATTATGGGCTATATCACACTACTTTTAGGCACACACTGTCTGCAACCTATATGATATGCTCATCTGCATAACGTGACGTCGCAGAAGTGGTGAATTGCTTGTTCCTTTACATTATAAGACTGTAGTTGTACATGGACAGTTGAAAATTTGGGTAAGTCCAATTTTTTGTGTGTTGGAAATTAGTTTAAACTTATAGCACAATCAACTGTACATGCAGTCTCACCATTATTTTACCAATTGCAAGTATTTTTTACATACATTCAAAACCAGTTGTCATCTTGCTCCTTTAATACACATTTTACTTCAGTCTATCTGAATAGCTTTATAGCTTTATCTGAATATCTATACAGCTTTACCTGTTATCTGGTGACAGGTAAAGTGAATGACAGAGGCATTACATGTACCTGTGAACTGATGACTTGCAGGGCCTGTGGGATAGCGCTGGCAGCCACACTGCCCCCCTCCCCCATCATCAGCACACTGGGCAGCAGCTGACGGAACAACCTGGTCACTACAGTAACAACCTACAGGAAACAACAATCAAAATGATTTTTTTATTTATGTATATTTTCACCTCTATAAGTACTGGCATTTTCTGTATTCTACATTTGTAAACAAAAAAAATGAATGAGAAATGCGCATTTCTGACATGTATCAGATCTTTTAATCTTTTTATTTACACTTTATTTTTGATCTAAACTTTATATTTACCATTTTCATCAATTTGACTGTGGGTAAATCCACAATAAAGGACTTTATTACAATAATTTTATCTTCATCAGGTAGGAAAGACACTAGTAGATTAAAGAGACCATAATCTTTTACTGTGGAATGGACAAATGGTGGGAACAAAGGAAGGAACAAAGAAATCTAGGATGGAAGGAAGAAACGAAGGAATGAGAGGTTAAGAGATACATGAAAGAAGAAAGAAATGAAGGGGACTTAAACAGATCCATAAAGGAAAGAAGGAAGAAATGAAGGACACTTTAACAAATCCACAAGGGCAAAAGGAAGAAATGAAGGGAGTCAAACAGATACATGAAGGAGAGAAGGAAGTTAAATAGATCAATGAAATAGGGAAGAATGAAGGAAGAAATGAGGGACTAAGAGTTAAACAGATTCATATAAGAAAGAAGGAAGAAATGACAAAAGAGAGTTAAACTCCTGACCTCTCCGTGTGCTCCGCTGGAGAGAATACTGAGAGCCATATAAGCCAGCTGTGTGAGGGACGACACATGGGCCAGGGTCACATTGGTACTGTAGGTCAGGTCCTCATGGGTCAGCTCTACTCTGGTCAGGGACACCAGGGTCTAACAACAAAATCAACCATAACATCAACAACAACATCGACATCGACAATAACAACAAAACATCAACAATCAGGGCTTGAAATACTTTTTTTCTCCATTATACCTGCAAGTGCAGCTAACATTAAAAATTACCTTCACCAGACAAATTTTACCTGGACTTAAGGAAGAATGGACCATACTGAAAACTGTTCAGAAACTATTACCATTACAAATGTGTATTTCTTTTACACTTTAACTATAACAGTCAATGTAACAAATGCAAAACCACAAATTCCTACATGTTAGCTGCAGGTTGACATCAGAACCCCCCAATTTTACCTGCAGTAACCTGCATATACCCAGTACATGGACCAGTGCAGGTTAGGTGCAGGTAGACATCAAAAATACCTGCACAGCTTTAATTTTACATGCACTAACCTGCATATACCCAGTACATGGACCAGTGCAGGTTAGGTGCAGGTAGACATCAGAAATACCTGCACAGCTTTAATTTTACATGCACTAACCTGCATATACCCAGTACATGGACCAGTGCAGGTTAGGTGCAGGTAGACATCAGAAATACCTGCACAGCTTTAATTTTACCTGCACTAACCTGCATATACCCAGTACATGGACCAGTGTAGGTTAGGTGCAGGTAGACATCAGAAATACCTGCACAGCTTTAATTTACCTTGCACTAACCTGCATATACCCAGTACATGGACCAGTGCAGGTTAGGTGCAGGTAGACATCAGAAATACCTGCACAGCTCCAATTTTACCTGCACTAACCTGCATATACCCAGTACATGGACCAGTGCAGGTGACATGTAGGTGTAGGTAGACATCAGAAATGCCTGCACAGCTCCAATTTTACCTGCACATGCAGGTGGAATTTTGAACCCTGACACCATACTTTACATAGAGAAGGATGAAGGGGAGATGAATTGGTCCCAGAAAAAAACTTGCTTATTTTCTTTCAACAAAACAAGTCAAAAGCACAAACAAGCCTGGTACAGTGATGATGTCATACCTCCAGTGCATGCTGGGTAGTCTCCTGGCGCTCCTTGAGTGAGAAGTGTCCACAGTTGAGGAGGCGGATCAGGTCCTTCAGACAGCCAATCAGCAGCTGTTTGACTCTGGCCGTCTCCTGCGCTGACAGGACCACCTCCTCCCCATCACTGTCATCCTCATCCTCGTTCTCCCCATCTCTGGTAAAACAAGTGTTAGCTTGAAAGTTTGCTTGTCGTAGTGGAAGTCAATATGAAACATGTTTGAACTGTAATTCCCAACAGAAGAATATTTGGACTTAGACCTAGGAAAAAAAAATTGTGTTTCTTGTTTCAGTCATGAAAAAATTAGCGTTGGTAGGTAGGGATTAGCTTTTTTTCTATTTTTGTTAGACTTTGGTAATCTCTAGTGATCAAACTCAATTTGGCTGGGTTAATTTGGCAGTCTATTGTAAAATGGGTGGAAATTTTGCTGTGGTTTTCTTATTTTCTGTGTCCTTAAGATCCAACATACCACAGTTATCAAAAAGAGTAGGGGTCTTTCCCGGTGAGAGTAGTTCAAACCTTAACATTACAGTACGCTCGGTCTTGCACAGATTATACTTACAAAACTGATGTATTACGCCTAAAGGCAGTTTATCATTTATGCAAAACAAACAAACAAAAAAACAGACCTGTCTCCCTCCTGCTCCATGTCCTCCTCCCTGCCCTGGGCCTGACCCCCCCTCCTGGGAGCCTTGGATGGTTTCTTCCCTGCCTCTGCGCCGTCGTTCCTATGTTTGCGTTTGTTCCCTCCAGACTGGGGCCACTGCTTCAGTACATTCATGGCCTTCTCAAACAACACAGCATGGAATGTACCATATGCACCACTACCTGTGGTTCAGAACAGAATACATGGAAAAGATCAAAACTTGAAACTGACTTTATACATGTACTTCATAGGTGGTCAACAGTCAATGAAGCAAATAAAAATCCACATACACCTACGTAGACATTTCCTCGGTCTCATAATACCATAGATACAACTTCTCCACCATGTAATTGTTTGTTTTTATGCTTAGAGTGCCTGAGTTCTGGTGCGAGTCTCTGTTTTTCTTCCCCTCGATCAGTACTACATCAGTACTACCTGCACAGTTCCAATTTCACCTGCACTAACCTGCATTACTTATCAAAAATGTATAGGCATATTTAAAGCCTGATCGGACTTTTATGTTTACTGTATGTTGTCTCACTGTATGTTACAACGTCTTGTGTAATTTTGCTGGGCCCCCTTGGAAAACAGCTGATACAAGCTGAATTGGGGCTACCCAGCCGTCTTGAGATGAAATAAATAAATAAAATAAATAAAGCCTTGAATTATTACCATACAGCTCTTTATATGAGAATGGACATTGTCCATCAAGTTTTCTTCAATTAGAAAATTTCTGGCAGGCTGATTTTCAAAACCATGGGAATAAACAGGTATTGCAATATTATACTTGTAAAACAGTCTATTAGTAGTAACTCTGTAAACACCTAGCTTACCTGGCACCTGTAACAGGTTGAAGTACAGACTTGTGGCCAGACAGGCTGCCTCCTTTTCCACTGCACTGGCTACTCTCTGTTGACCTGGGGCATCAATGTACAAACAAAATATCACTCCAAGTCTGAATGGGCAAAACACCAGAATATATACATATCTTGGTTCTAGTGTGAAAAATCTTATATATTTACATAGATACATGAAGTCATAACATGAATTGCTGTCTTGTACAGAAGGCAGTTCCAAAATGATGAAAGCTTTGGCTGCTAATGCAAAGGTGGAATGTGTCCATTGGGAAATTATCTTTTTTTGTAAAGTAAAAAGAATTTACAATTGACACAAGAAAAACTTGAGAATATATCATTTGAAAACAATTTGCATTAAGCTAGCTGCACATTGACAGAACATCTCCTTTATTATTATAAATTAAGGTTGTATTTTGTCTATTTAAGGATGACACGTCTATTGTTTTCAAATGTTGTCTTGGAAAGGTTTTATTAAATCTTTAACACTGACAAGTGACAACAGGCAAAATTCTAATGCAAATTACTGACCAAATATCCAATGAAAACTGTGAAAAATATTGATTTTTGCGCTGGTGCAGTACGTTCTGCCGACAGCCTCATGTTAGCAGGTACACTAGTACTACCACTGTCGTGTAGTGAGGCATAACTTACAACAATCTGACTCACCTGTATAAATACAGTAGAAGGCCAGGGCGATGATGTTACGATAGGAGAGGTCATGGTCACTCAGCATGCTCCAGAAGTCCTGGGGTTCAAACAAACTAACATGGTCTCAAGCCTTCTACTTTTGTGACATACATGTACATGTCCTGTTACAAGGCCATTAATGGACTATGAAACAACAGAGAGGATGTTACCTATGGTACTTAAGCATAATTATCGTGACAACATGTGTAGGGTCGTGTGGCATAAGGGCAGAGTGTTTGGCTTGGAACCAAGAGGTCCCGAATTCGAACCCTGCCATGTCACTGATCTTGTGCCCTTGGGAAAGGCACTTTACACGTGCACGACTTTCCTGGATGGAGGCCTGGTAAACCCCATCTTGTATTAGCTACAAAAGGCAGCAGAATTTTCAGCTAGTTGAAGGCGGCTGCCTCGAAATGAAGGAAGAAAGAAGAAGACGAAAGAACATACAAGTTATTACAACATAATGTTTGCTTCTGTTTGCTTCTCAAAAGAACATTATTCACCAGTCGTGGTGCCAGGTTCTGAACTGGCTGCCATGCTTACTGTCATGTCAATCATTCAATGGCAGCATTTAGTTGAATTAACTGGCTACAGAAATCGAGAACTGGAAGGATGATTTGCAAGATTTGTTGAACATAAGAACAGTGTCAACTCCTGAGACTTCACCTGTCCGCCATGTTCTGCGTTTTCCTGGTTGGAGTATCGTGTCAGGAGCTGGGTGGCGCGGAGAAGGTGCTCGTTGTACCGCCGGTCTACAGTGATGCCAGTCTCCTCCGAGGGCGGGTCACAGAGGGTGAAGTCACAGTCCCACACCTGGTCTACCCAGTCTGGAAACAAACAACAAAAACAACAAATATTTACACGGTTCAAACATTTGACTGCAGGAGTGTCATTGTCACATCTG